TGCTTTTGTTTCTACATACTCAGTGCAGTTACTGATACCAGAAGTCATTGCAGTTAGTATAAATGTTGTTTTATAGGAATTAAATTGTATAGCAGTCTGCAGAAAAAATATTTACATATTTATAGTGGCTTAATACTAAATACACTGGAATGTAGACTATGGATGCATGCTTCAAGAATGAAGATAAAAATAGAATGCCTTAAACCACCTGTAGCTTATTACCACAGTACAGTCCAGACAGCTTGATTAATTTGAAATTATATTTTAAGAACTGATCTGGGGAAGGATTTATGCGGTATTTCCTTGTGCCATGGACAGTGGAAGGAAGCACTACCATAAACACCTACTTCAGGCAAGTCGGACTAAATTTCTTATGAAATCACATGTTAACTTTTTCTTTATTCAGGTATCTACTCTGCTTGGACAACCTCCTCTTGCTTTCCATGAGCCTAGTTTTTCTTTCCACTACTTGTGTCCTTTAGACCATTTTCAGCTCCCTCTTACTAGGGAACTAAATTGGGAATATTAAATGCACAAAAATAGGAATTTGGGGGAAGAAGAGGAGTTAAATGGAAATGAGAATTTAAAATATCCAGTGAGGGGCTGCTGGAATCAGGGGCTTAGCTGGGAGAGAAAGGTGTCCAGTTTTAAACTGCTCCTACACTTTTCTTTTTTCCTGCTGCTCTCCTTTCTCCTAAAACAATCTTTGAACTCAAGTTCTTACATCAAGACTTTGAACTAAAGTGTCTTAATGCAACTCCTAGTTTAACTCCTTACTCAAGGACACATTTCAAAGCAGCTCAGCTGCTTCTCCAGCACTGCTGAATGCTGTGAGTAGGCTGACAAAGTGTCAGGAGTAAGGGCCTGCAGTTAGCCTACTTACCTACTAGCTTACCTGCAGGCAGTCTTAGGAGCACTGCTGGGCTCCAGCTGATTCTCCTAATTGGCCAAATTGCACAAGTGGCTGAGGGGAATCAACAAAGGCCTGCTCTTAAGACCACTAGCCACAGGATGCTAGCTGTTCAAAGCATTTGGCCCCTGGCTGAAGTAACTTCTTGTTTCTGCTTGTTCCCAGGCATGTTCCTGCCTGGCCTCACTCCAGGTAATCCAGTTCCGCCCCGTGGCTCTGATTCCTGACCTCAGCTCTGATCCTTGACTCTGGCATCTGACCCCAGGCTCTATTCCAGGATACCAATTCCAGCTCCAGCCACAAGGCATGACCATCCATGCCCTGATCCCTGACACAGTAAGCAGCAGTTTGCCTTTGAAGTTGTACAGCAAGAGAAGCACCACTAGCAGCAGGACTTAAAGAGAAGCTGTTGCTTTTTCTCCCTTCCTAGCAAATGCATCCAGCAAATCTGGAGAAACAGCTGAGCAGCCTTGAAACATGCCTGCAAGTTGGAAGCTCAATAAAGAGCAATATGAGTGGGCTAATTCTGATGCTGCCTCAGCTATTGCTTAGGGACTCCTTGCAATAGAACTTGAGTAGGAGAATTGGAGCAGACATGCAATGCACAGAAAGGCCATGCACACTCTACCCAGTAATGAGCTCACCTGTGCACTTATATGAAGGAGGGACAGGTGTGGCTTTGTGAATTATCATGCTCTAGCTAACCAGATATGTTATAAATGCAATGACTGTTTCATGCTTAGACCTCCACAGTCTTGAGATTAATAACACACAAAGACACACACATACGCACACACACACACACACACACACACACACACACACGTATGTGTTCATATGTCTGGACATGCCTGTTTCTTTCTCTCCCCCACCCCCTCCTTCCCCAGCTCAACTACTCAGGCAGGACACTGGACTGAACTTCTCTTCAGTTTCTTCACAAGAACCCAAGATGAGGAATTTTAAAAAGGAAGCTGAGGGAGGAAGACAGAAGGGAGTTTGGGCTGTAAACTAAAAGGCTGTGTCTAGACTGTCCAGTTTTTCTGGAAAATCAGCTGTCTACACTGGCCGCTTGAATTTCCACAAAAGCACTGACTTCCTACTGTAAGAAATCAGTGCTTCTTGCGGAAATACTATTCTGCTCCCCTTCAGGCAAAAGTCCCTTTTGCGCAAAGCTTTTGTGCAAAAGGGCCAGTGTAGACAGCTGAGATTTGTTTTCCGCAAAAAAGCCCCGATCGCGAAAATGGCAATCGGGGCTTTTTTGCAGAAAAGCACGTCTAGATTGGCATGGACGCTTTTCCGCAAAAAGTTCTTTTGCAGAAAAGCGTCCGTGCCAATCTAGACGCTCTGTTCCGAAAATGCTTTTAACGGAAAACTTTTTTTCTTTAATTCATTGTTAAAAAAGATTGAGACATCTCAAGAAAACAGCCACAGAATTAGTACTGAGTGAGTAGCAGGGAAACAATCTGCAGGGAATGAAGTTACTGTAGCCGTACTACTTGTAAGAGACATATTAAATATTAATTATAGTTCTGGGAGAAAATTTTGTGGCTTATATTCTAGCTGAAGAATGTTTCTCTAAGAAATTGTAGGATTCGGGGGGAGAAGAATGCAAAATTTCATTTAAACATCCTGGAACAAATTGGTAAGAGTCATCAACATTGCCTGAGATTTGAAGGTTCCAAAATATTCTCTCAATAGTTTGTGAAACTATTGTACCACAAAATTTCAGGATTTCAAAATGCCACATATTTGAATTTGTCAAAAAGCTATGGCAAACATCTCCCTGTCAATTTTGGGAGAAAACAGAAAAGAAAGTGCAACAGAGACAGACGTAGACACACCTAATGGCAGATGGTGACAGAACAGGAAGAGAATGTATAACCTTTGGTTCCATCTCCAGGAGTAGTATGTGCATCTGTACTAAATCATACACCCCCGTTTCTGCCAACCCCACTGGAGAGCATAATATAAGCCAGCTTCCACACAGGGAAACTAAATACAAAAGTATATTCCAAAGCAATATTAACCACCTTAACAAAAATGCCATATGGGGAAGTGAGGGGGGGAAATCTCAAACATTTCACAATCTGAATACTTACCAAAACTATGGACGATAGGAGTCCTCTGTTCCACACAAACCCTCCACCTTTACTTAGAACACGAGGCATAACCCCCTAAGGACTCTCAGAGGAATGTTCGGGGGGAGCATGTAGTGTGGATCAGTGCCACCTCCAACCCCATTCAGTACCCAGGCCCGATTCGCCTCCAGGTCCAGGTCTACCCTTAGTCCCTCTACGTCCCCAGCCCATTTGTCCCCCATGCCACTCTCAGCCCAGCTCTATCCTCACTCCCTCTCCACTCAGATCTGCACCACCTCTAGCCCCAGCTCCTCCCTCATCACCAGGTCTGCCCCCAGCTCCACCTTTAGCCCAAGCTCCACTGCTGAGAAAGTAATGGGAGGGACTACTGGAGGAAGGGTACAGACAGATTCAGTTACCAGTATGGGGTGGGGGACACAAATGGAAAACTTTGAGCACCACTGACTTAGAACAGCTTTCTTGCTATCACAGAGCAGGCCCCACTCCCGTGTCTTGGAGAACCTTTCTGGTGTCTTCATAAGGCCACCACGCAGAACCACTATGCTCCTAAAGCCCTGAATGGTCTTTAGGATGTGGAGTAGGTCCTCCTTCCTTACCCCACAGTTATGCAGCAAGTGTCACAAAGCCTACAGTACCCACAGAAAACGGATTCTGGTAATTAGTCTACATTCAACATAAATCCTTAACATGGCTGGTACATATTTTTCTCTGTACACACAGGCAACTTATTTGGATCCCAAGAATGTAACACAGCTGTGCATAAAACATGGTTGTTGCTGTAGCATGCTCTGAGCACTCTCTAATGAGAGTCACTTTGTATTTGTTATATAAAAATACTAAAAGCACACTAAAGGAAGTTTTTGTCCTTTAAAAACTTATGATAGACACATACATTTATCTACAGTTATGCACTGTAGATAACAATTTTAGTGGAAGCAAGGGACAACTAACCAAATTAACGTTATCCAACTATCTGAGGTACAATGGTGATCACATTTAAAATACTCCAATTCTTTCCTTTTCTTTTTTTAAATATTTTATTTTATGCCTTTAAACACACCTTTTGAATTTTCCATGGGAAAAATCTTTACTTTTGCTCGTGAGCTCTTTTATTCCTCCACTTTTAGAAAGTAAAACACTGAAGTAAAATTCTCAGCATTGTAAGTGGGTATTTAAACATTTCAGCAGCAGCAGAACAATGGGAACAGTGTCAAAGCACAAGACCAATTCAACAAGTATTACCGGGGTGGTCAGTACATGAAAGACACACTTGGCATTTCTGATTGACTTCTGTTCTATGCTAAAATAATTTGGCTGACTTCCTAGAAGGTAGCTATGAATCAAAATCTCAGAAGAGATCTCTTTTCTTTCCTCTTTATTAAGCCCAAATAATACAAAGAATCCTTGGGTGCATACTATGTGATACTTAATATATGAATATAAATAAAAAAAAGAAAATGAAGCAATATCTTAAAACTAATTGAAAATAAAGGTTCTAAACTACATTTTAAAAAGCACTGAAGAAAAATATTCATCTGCTATAAATCAATGTAGCATAGATTAATCAATGAAGCTATACTGATTTACACTAGCTGAGGCACGTTTCTCAGTTTAAAATAATTCAGTCAAGGGTGTGGATTTTTGTTTTGTTCTTCTTGAGGAGGCAGGGTTGGGGGAGAGGGGTTGACACTATTTTCATATCTTCCAAGAAAGCAAAAAAAATGTACTCTATCACCTTAAAATAATATTGTACATTAACAATGGCTCACCATTCACTTATACTGCTCACGCTGTTCTTCTGTTGTGCAAGTGTTTAAATTAGTATCGTTTTTTTCATTTGAAAAAATGTAACATCAATAACATTTACTCAGATGGACATTAATTTTCCTTTAGCTTGTAAGAAAAGCATCGGTGAAATATTTCACCCCATGTTCTACACAAATTTACTGTTACTATATTCTGACTGAAAGTGTCCTTTTATCTATTCTTACCTTGACATTGTCTGGATGAAGTCCTCCAGGATGTTTGTCCATGTACTGACATAAATCAGTGTGCTGGAAAAAGTCAAAGGGGAAAATTGTATTAATATCCCCATGACTACAATAGATCAATATTCTTACACTTCAAAGTCACTGTTTTCTGTGGACAGAGCAAATGGAAGTAAAAAACATTTTCTCAGTTATGCCATGTTGTCTTTACCTCCAGGCTCCATTCTTATTAAGCATCTCTTTAATGTGACTCTCAAAACTATTTCTAAGAATAAATTGAATCTAGTTTCCTTCTAATCGGTCCTGCATATAGTTAATTTACTAATTTAAAATCTTAATCTACCACGTATGATATGGTATCTCTTAAATTAGATGGATCCGTATTACCATCAGTGCCCTATAGGTTACCTCATGGTGGGGGAAGCTTACAAGAAAAACATCACAAAATCTGCCCACATCATTTAAATAAAACACCTCTGGAGTCAACGTTCCATAAGAGTAAGTCAAGCAAGATTCTGGCCCAGGATTACTTATCAAAATAATGCTTAAAATAGCTGAAGAATAGATAGCCGAATACTGCTCAGTACCAAAAAAATATGATGAAACATGGCAACAGGCATGTGCATACATATGAGTGGACAATTATTAGAGATGTCAGAAGCAGTTTGAGGTTTCCACTGAAAGCAGGATTAAAATTAGTTTCTCACTTTAAATTAATGCAGTCTCTGAATTTACTACAATAAGTCTTCAGAAGACAACTGAATTCTCCATATACATTTTTAGTAAACATTAAAATTTGAAATCCCTCCACCCTTCCTCCCTCGCTTCTGTCAGGATTTTTTTTTTTTTTTTTGGCTCCACCCAGTATGCACCCTTTATCAAGTAAGATGGTACTTTGATTCTCTGCTCTGTAATCACAAGTTAATTTCTTAAATTTTATCAGAATTGAAAGAAAAATATTAATTGGCATAACCATCACCAAATTGGAGCTGATCTTTCTATTCAGAAACTTGGAACTGCATGTGGAGGGGAAAGATTAAAGCAGCATTCTGTTTACTGTGTGTAAACACAGTGGTCAAGGAGAGAGTCTTGGACTGAAATTTTCTTTTTCAAACCAGACTTCTTTCTTGGGCCTCATTTTGCTACCCATACAACTCCAGGATCCCTTCTTTTATATGTTCATTCAGAAGCCTACTATGTACCTACACACTATCCTCTGGATAGGATTCAAATTATCAGTAACACTTTGTTGCCTTCTTGTGTCCATACCGAAGCTTTATTCTCACATCCCTTCTCCCATATGCCAATATTAGTATTAGAAAAATCGTGTGGGACTAAATCAATTTGATGAAATAAATTTAAAGTTGATGCAAGTATAAATATATTATTTAAAACATTATTTCTTTAATGCATGCTAAAAGATGCATAATTTCAGTTGGCTATGCATTAAAGAAACTCCGCTGTGGCTTAAAGATAGCAAATATTCTATGTGTAGTGGAAACGTCTGTCTGTCAGTCAGATGGAAGGGGAATATATTCAAAGAGCATGAAGATATAAGGACAGGAAGCAATTTCCTTCCAAACACAGGCTACAAAAAATAACATTTATGGTTCAATTTGTACTTAACGTATCAGTGCAGTCGTCTAACAACGAAAATAAAATGTTAGCTCATGCATTTACTTCCCCCATCAGCAGGGTTTCCAAATATGGTTTGATGAATTCCTGGAGGTTTCACTGAATAACTTAATCTTTAATTAAAAATTAATCTTTAATTCTTAGAGGCTCCAAGACAATCCTGGAGAGTAAGCAACCTAACCTATCAGTGGTAGTGTGAGTTAGTTAAATTGTATTTTGAACAAAGGTTTATACTTTAAATGTGGTTTAGATTCAGATTTTTCCAGCTCTAAAAGCCACTTCAGCATTGGTTCCCCAATCTTTCTTTCTAAATCTTCTGGGACCATAGCAAGAACTAGCCAATCACTCTTGATAATTCATCACTACATTGCACACTCAAGTTTGTTTCACTGATTGATTATTATGCTCCCTTTATGTTGATACAAAAAGTCACCTTTGTCACCTTCTAGGTGTGAAGTGATTGATACTTCTTGAGCACCAACTCTAGCACAAATATATTGCGCCTTTTGGCAAAACATCTGAAACATCATTACTGCAATGATGTAAACTTTTCTTTTCCAGAATAGGTTTCCTCCTCTCAATTTCTCTATTATAGCAGTAAAATGGCAACCTCAATGCAACAAAATGTTCTCGTTTAACTTGAATGTGAACTTTCGAATGAAGACAAATTCCATTGTTTTTGATATGTCCCAGTTAAAATTTTTGACGAAAACCTCACTGAAATTTGCTTTTTAAAAACACACAATGAAAGACAAGCATTGCCCTATATTATGTATATCACAGAGGAACTGAACCTGGGACCTCTGGAGCTTACAACATGAGTCTCCATAGCTTAAGCTAAAAGCCAGTTTCTTCGCAACTAAGGGTATGTCTACACTACAGAGTTTTGTCAGAAAAACAGCCATTTTTCCTGACAAAGCTTGAGGAACATCCACACTGCAATTGCGTTCCTCCGCAAGAAAATCGAAAGAACAGAGGGGTTTTTCCAGCATTGGTAATCCTCATTCTACGAGGAAGAAGCCTTTTTGCCAAAGAGCTCCTTCGGAAAAAGGCATGTGTGGACAGAGAAGAGGGAGTTCTTTCGCAAGAAGAGGAAAGAGAAAAAAAGCTCAGGTGCTCTGGTGGCCATTCCATTCATAGCGATCAGAGCTGACATGCGAGAGAGTGTCCATTCAGTCTGGATGCTCTCTTTCAAAAAAGTAGGTCATTTTTTCAATGTGCTTGGGCAGTGTGGACACTCTTTTACAGAAGAAGTTTTTCTGAAGATCTCTTCCAAAAAAAGTTTCCTCCAAAAGAAGCCTGTGGTCTAGACACAGCCTAAGACTATAGAGTAGGCTTACCATATTCGAACTTTCAAAAAAGAGGACACTCCTGAAAGAGAGTGTATCAGTATCTACCAACTCATGTTGTATTCATGTGTAAACATCAGTATACTATAGTATAGTATATATAACACATTGTATTAATGTGAGCATACACAAGTAATAGTGAGTATATGCTTTTATAAGTCTTTTAATAAACCTGTAACTGTTTAAGCTTTAACCTGACTCCTTCAGTTGCTGTAATAGAACCAAGCACAATTTAAAAGAACTTCAGCCGGTCATGAAGGGACAGACATAGGGATCTGTGTCACTCCCAGGTGACAAGATCCGTTGGGGCACCTTTTCAGCCTTTCCTAGGCTGCCCGCTGCGAAGGAACTTTGTGTTCTAGCAGCTAAAATCTAAGGTGTAATAAGCTCTTCCTATAAAGGGGCGTCTGTTGGCCTGCTGGCCACCCTCTGCGATGGGACCCCGGTCCTAGCAATAAAGACACGGACGTTAAACCTTTTCTCGGAAACATACACACACACACTGCCCTGACCATTGGCTGACAGCATGTCAATGGGGGAGCACGCAGAGCTCAGGAGAAACGTGGGGTTTGGCCTATGTAGATGTTTGCATGACTTCGGCGAGGACGTGCAGTTCAATCCTGGAGGGGGCTGGCAGGACTCTCCAGTGCTAGGGAGGTTTAAAGAGGCTCTACAGGATTTGGGTCCATGAGAGGTATTTATGGGGTTCTGGGGGCCACAGGGATCAAGTTCATGGGGGTGTCAGCAGGTCTATGGTGGAGGGGCAGGTCTCAGGGGCTGCTGGGATCCCAGAACTCTTCTCCATGTGGCATTTGCAAGCTCTGAGACTCACAGTGACTCCTCCCACCCATTGCTAAGCAACTGCTGCTGAATCTACAGGCTACGGAAAGTCCAGACTTCTTCAAGGTGGCTGCAGGCAGGGCTAGGGAGCATGTGTGGGTGGGGATGGACTCAGTGGAGCAGGGAAGCGTCTGGCCTGTCACTGAATGAGCAGGGCAAAATCCCGGACATTTTTAAAACCCAGCTGGATGGAAATTTAAAGATCCAAAAGGAGGACGTGTCTGGGAAAAAACGGACGTATGGCAACCCAAAGGTAGAGCATGTTCATTCTTCTCTCTCTAAGTGGTCTGCATGCTACTAGATGGGACAGTGAATCACACCCAGAAGATATGTGGGTGTGACGGGGCGAGGCAGCCCCGCACTGAACTTGCAGGGCCCAGCCAGGGTTACCTGGCTGCAGAGGCCCCTCCTCCACAGCCCTACCGAGCATGCCCGGGCTATAGCTGTGCTATAAAAGCCTGGGGAAGGACTCAGTCTGGGGAAGACAGCCAGAGGAGGAGGACTGGTGCAGGGAGCTCCCACTCAGCTGTTGCCGGGGACGCCAGGAGAGGCTGGAAGGGACGTGGAGGCGAGTTGGAGTAATCCAGGGACTGCCTGCTGAGGGGACGCCGGCACGGAGCTTGCAGCAAGCTGGACAAGTACAGGGGAAGGAACCACAGGGGACCAGGTAGGAAGCAGCCCAGGGCAGGAGTGGGAGCTGCCTCTTCCGCCCAGAGAACCTCGGCGCGTTTCGGCCGGATTGCCCCGCCGAGGGAGTGACCCGTTACCGGTCGCTCACAGGGCTGGGACCCGGTGGAGTAGGGTGGGCCTGGGTCCCCCTACCTGGGGTGCGTCCCCGCTACAACCCTGAACTACATTGTGGACTCAGGCTGGAGGGCCTTGGCCTTGCTTAAAAGGCCAGCTATAAAGCTGCATTGTAGACTCGGGCCTCAAGAGGGTAGGGGGGAGGGGCCCGCCAAAGTGGGTTACACATGCACGTGGTTTGGCAGTCCTGTCACACCTGCCCACATCACTGTGGGTTCTTTCATTTACTCAACAGGTCTGCAATTCAGGCAACCTGAATTTCCCCTGCAGCCCAGTGAGAATAGCACGGCTCAACAGACACCCTTATGGATTTCTCCACTCTTCCCATCCCCCCCACTCTATGCATCTGACTTGCAATCAGCCAAAAGAGATCACATAAGACACTAGGGCTTAGGCTGTCTAGCTTAATGGTCACAGCATGGCTGGTGTTATCACAAG